ACCCCCCATCTTTCCGAAGTTGTTCCAAGTCAGATCTTAACCTCCTGTTCTCTTCTCTAACTGCGCGAGCGGCAAGAACATTGTTTTTCAATTGCTCGTCTGCTTGCCCTCTCAGATGGCCCCAGGCAACGGCCAGTTTCCTAAGGCCCTCATTCCTGATGGCCTGCGCCTCCTGCTCATGTTCCCGAAGGGCCCACAGCGCTTCCAATGTTACCTTTTCGGCCTTGAGTCTAGCAGCTTCGAGTAGATGACGGGGCACCTGATTATCACGTGCTGCTTGTTCTCGAGCCTCTTTCTCTCCTTCCCTTCTGGCAGCGTCAGCCATTTCTCTGCATTCGGCTTTCTCTTTCTCAGCCTGCCGATGAGAAGCTGATACCATTTGTTCAGCCATACTTATACGACCACCCTTCGGGTGATAAGGAGGTTCGGGGGGGGGGGGGCCAACGTCTCACTCGATCGGCCCCGCTATCGATCTCACCGTCGATCTCAGCATCGGCCTCGCTCGATCGATCTCACTCGATCGATCCCACAATCGATCCCACTCGATCTATTTCATTCGATCAATCTCACAGTCGATCTGACCAGGGATCTCACAAACGATCTCACGATCGATCTCGCTAACGATCTTACTATCGATCTCACATTCGGTACTACTATCGGTCTCACCATCGACATCACAATCGATCTCACAATCATCGCCATCATCATCACCATCATCAACATCATCGCCCTCAACGTCATCAACAACATCATCATCATCATCAGGACACCATCACCATCACCATCACATTGTCACCGTCATCATCAACATCATCATCAGCATTCCCATCACCATCATCGGGACACCATCATCGCCACCACCATCATTATCATCAACCTCATCATCATCGGGGCACCATCACCATCATCACCAGAACACCACCATCATCATCATCATCATCATCTCATCATCATGGACAGCATCACCAACACTATCATCGGGGCATCATCATCACCATCAGCAACATCATCATGAGCAACATCACAATCATCATCATCATCGTCACAGGGTCACCATCATCATCGCCACCATCATCATCAGCATCATCATCGGGGCACCATCACCACCATCATCATCTCATCAACATGATGAACAACATCATCCATGTCACCATCACCGGGAGAATTCCATCATCAGCAAAATCACCATTATCAACAGAACAGCATCATCCTCGGGACACCATCATCATCGCCACCACCATCATCATCAACATCAGCATCATTATCACCATCATCAAGCCACCATGATCTAAATCATCATCACAACCACATCATCATCCTCATCACCAACCTCATCACCATCACCGGAACACCATCATCGCCATGACCATCATCATCAACATCATCGTCATCATCGGGACACCATCATCATCATCAACAGCATCATCAACCTCATCACCATCATCACTGGGACAGCATCATCACCATCTTCATCATCATCATCTCATCATCATCTCATCACCATCAACATCTTTAGGGTCATCAACATCATCATCATCGGGACACCATCATCACCACCAGCAACATCATCATCATCATCATCAATATCATCACCATCGGGACACCATCAGCATCACAAGCATCACAATCATCATCAACAACATCGCAAACATCAGCATCATCATCATCGGAATAAATCATCATCACACCCATCACCACCACCATCATCAACATCATCGACATCATCCCCATCACCATCGGGACACCGACGGGACACCGGCGGGACACCGGCGGGACACCGGTCGCCACCAGCCCCTGGCCAGGAATCATTTGGTCCGGCCGCGCCTCAGACGGAGGCGGGGCACCGGCTGGACACCGCACGCCACCGGCCCCCGGTCAAGAATCATTCGGTCGGGCCGCGCCTCAGCCGGAAGCGGGACACCGCGCGCCACCGGCCCCCGGTCAGGAATCATCTGGCCCGGCCGCGCCTCAGCCAGAGGAGACTTTCTTTCCGCCCGCCCACGCAGCTTCGCCTCGCCCGCGCGCGCGGCACGCACGAACACGAAACCGAAATCGATTTCCCGGCAGGGGGGCGCTCCGTTCCACCTCGATCTCACCCCCTTCACATCCGACGTTGCATTTTCCTTCTCTCGCTCTCCTTTTGCGCAAGACGCCGCTGGGCCACGTCCCAAATTACTGCTTCATTAGCTTCTGCTTGCTGCGTCCGTCTCCGCGCATCTTCCGCAATGGCCATTCTCTCTTGATCGACCTTTCGCGCCATTGCCTGTCTTTCTGCTTCAGATCATGCCGGCATCCACTCGGATTCTTCAGCGGCCCCATCGCCCACTCGTGTCTCGAGGATGATTTGATGTACGCGCGCATTCGCAGCTCTCAATTGTTCTCGACCCTGCCTATTTCTCTTCCCAGTCCTGGATGGCAATGCAACGGCAGTTGCGTTCCTCCTATTCAACGCACTCTCCGCAGAGCCACGCAACACTACACTTGGGACATACATGCGAACATTGCGAGCACACTGGCCTGCGGCACGGCCCCTCCGGTTTGCGCGCTTTTCCCGGACATCGGTTCTCCGCCCGGCGCGGACGCGTAAGTCCGGCATTCCAACAACGAGAAGCTACTGGTGGTCCTATTTGACGATGAGCGAGGCGACTCAAGGGCATTGAATCCTCTGGAGCTGGAGCGCCCGGCCCTGGGGGCCTTCCTGTGCCCCCTGCTGGGGGCAGGAGTATGCCGTTCCCTTGTTCTTACACCTTTCTTGATCAAATCGACATCCTGCTTTTGGGCCAGCTCGTCTTTTTCGTCCTGCATCACCAGCTCATCAGGTTCTGGCACTGTGTCTCTGCTAGACCTCGTCAATGCGAAGTCTGGTCGGTGAAACCTTCTGGCAAAGGGGAAGCACTTAGGTCGTCATCATCATTCTTCCGCTTCTTCATCTGTGGCAGTGGAGTTGTACCTGCAGGCTCTCTTGCATGCCTGGCCATGCCCAAGCCTTCGGGCGAGGCCAGCATCGGCTGAGCCGACGAACCTTTACCTTGATCTGGGCTTCTCCCATCTCCAACATCATCAATCCTAATCAAGAACAGCCTGCTGCAGTGCATCGACCGTTGCATAGTCGACTGTCTCGCTGTCAGACATGTCTGCACCTGGGGCGAGCCCGTCGGATCCACGAGCGAGGGGATTATGGTGGCGAGATGGGCCAGGCGAGATAGGAAATTGAGCGCGCTCTTCACTCCTCAATTGAATGCGAGCTGTCCCTTTCAAATTGTAGATCGCTCTCTTCGTCGCCGTGACCATGAAACTCAAATTGCGCTGCTTTTCTAGCGCAACAGTTACCTTGATCTAGTGTTCCTCTGGGTATTCGTTCCAGCAATTTCCCCATTTCATGGTCTAAGTCAATCGATGGTTGAAAACTCTGGTGCGCCGGTACCAAATTAGATGGCCCCCCCGCGGGGGTTTGGGCTGCGCCATACCTCTCGCTCGGGGTTTGTTCCCTTATTACTGCCATCGAACCGACAGGAGAGTCTCCTTCTGTTAAATCGAACACAATTTTCGACGCTTGCGTTTCCAGGAGGCAGAGAGAGCTAGGTCGTTTCATAGAGGCGCCTGCATCAGAAACACGGTCGGAACGAGAACGTTTTCCTTTTCTTCCGAGCGCTCCTTCCCATGATCCCATGCTCTGCGAAGCTAACGGCTGTGCCGCCGCTTCGGCTGATAACCAGTCTTTTGCCTGAAAATTCATAATCCCTGCAAAAGTTCCGATGATAGCTCATGTTCAGTTGGCTTCGCGGATGGCATGGGAAGGAATGATAATGCCGTCAAGCTAGCACTAGGGTACCCCTGAAGGGAGGAAGCCGGCCCGCCGGCCGACGCACGCGCGCGCGCCGCAGGCTCGCTCCTTTTCTGTTTCCCCAGAGCAGCTGCAGTAGGATACAGTACAGGGCCGTGCAAAGAAATGAAGGCAACGGGCGGCAGAGTGGTGGTGCGGACGGAGTGCATTGACCAGATGACCTTCGCGATGATTCAAGATGCCCACGTGTTCCCCGAAGGTCTTCCAAACCGACTCGGGAAACACTTGGTCCGATAGCTTGGCAGGTCTGGCCTCAACGTTCGGCCACATAGGCGCTTCCAAAAAGGCAGGGGGCGGCGGTGATTTTCCGTAGGCGTGTTCGATAACTTCCACGATCGTCGCAAACTCTGACTCCTTGTGGGAGTCGGCGGACTGGCGTAAGCCACTCGAATAAATTGATATGCAGATCGCAACCATGCCCACAGTCAGCACATTTCCCCATGCATCTGACGTCTACCCCGAATACGGATGGTTACTAGATTGAGCTGCCTACTTCCAAGAGCATTACGCATTGCTACCATCGGCGCGCTCAACCAGGGCATCGCCAAAAAGGTATAGAACCCCTCACCACACTGCATGGACATGATCGCGATACCCAGCCCAAACCTGCTGATCTTCACTGAGCAAGACTGCTGATCTTCGCCTCCGCCTTCACCCAGCACCGCGTCCCCGTTGCGTGGCTGATTTGTGAAGCTCGCTCCTGCGTGCTCTCTCTCCCTCCCTCTTCTTCTCGGTGCCTCTTCGGAGGCTGGCCAATCCAGCATCCAGCATCCCCCCCCTGTGCGGAGGTAGAAAACAGTTGAAGGGGCCCTGGGACACACAAATAAATACACAAATAAAAAGATCCCCCATATTTCCCCATCTTTTCTTGGTTTCTGTCTTCCCCACCACTTCCCATATTTTCGCATACTTCCTGGAAGTCGACGAATAATTGTGTCTGTGTGTTTTTTCCCCTCCTGAACAGTATCGACACCGCTACTCCCTGGACCCCTCCTGGGTTGCGTGCTGACCAGAATGGAGGCGAACCCAGCAGTGGGAACGAGGGCCTCCCAGGAGGCCCAGAAAGACGAAAACGAAGAAAGGGTAGCGGCATCGGTATCGTCTCCTCCTCTGACTCCGTCCCCGTTTCTCCCCCTCCCCCGGGGGAGCGGAGGGCCTCTCTTCGAGGCTGCCGGTGGTCAGCGAGAGCTGGTCGCTGACCTGCGAGCGCGGACGGCCCGGGCGCAGCCCACCCATCGGGCGCTGCCCTCGCCGTCGAGCCCTCGCCCCCCTCCGCCCTCGCTCCGTGCCGTCTCTCTGCCGAGGCAGGCTGCCGCGGCCTCGCTGCTGGTGCTCGGCCTCCGCCGGTCGAGCTCGGCCCGCGCCGGCGGCGCCGAGCTCCCGTTCGTGCCCTGAGGCTCCTGCCATCCCCGCCCTCCGGCCAGCACTCGACCCGGATCCGCCACCGTGCCCTGGCGCACGCTGAGGCGTGGCACAGTGCCGAGGGCTGTCCGGCAGGGCTGCAGCCAAGCGTTGCTCTTCGTTCGGTGTTCGCTTGTGTCTTCCGGTCTGTTCTGCCCGTCTTTCCTGTGCCTCCCCTGCCAAAACGAGAAACGTGCACCGCCCTCCGTCCCTCCTCCTCCTCCTCCTCCTCCTCCTCCTCCTCCTCCTCCTCCTCCTCCTCCTTTTCTCCTCCTCCTCCTCCTTTTCTCCTCCTCCTCCTCCTCCTCCTCCTCCTCCTCCTCCTTATCCTCCTCCTCCTCCGCCACGATGCCTCCGACAAAAAACAAAACAAAAAAAACGAAAACAAAACAAAAAACAACAAACAAAAACAAAAACAAAAAAATGATAATAAAAAACAAAAACAACAACAACAAAACAAAAAAAACGGAAGCGCGCCCGCCAGGCCGCGACCTCCCTCGTCAGAGACGGCGGAGCTGCGCCCCCCGAGTGTCCCAGACAGCCCACGCGGGCAGCCAAGGACACCAAGATGGCCCAAGATGTCACTGCACCGACTGGCGGCGCGTTCAAGGGGGTGGAGGGAGGGGGGGCGGCTTCTTAGGAGGAGGCGGCCTTACATCTGTAGAGAAGGCCCGCGCCTTCTAAGAGGCAGGGGTGCTTCTAAGAGGCCCTCCCCCCTCCCTCAACCCCCTTGGGCGCGTGGCTGAGCTGACTTTGCAGACGTGCTGCAGCGGATTTACGCGTGGATTTCTGCCAATGCAAAACCCCGAAACGGTGAGCGAAAAACGAAATACATGTCGTGCGGATTTGTTTGTCTCATTGCCGGCCAAAAAATCCGCACGGAATTCACTTCGAAATCAGGAACGAAATTCTCCAGGACATTCCGGGCCCATCGTATCGCTCCCGAACGGAATCCGCTCTGCAATGTTGGCGCCATGACAAATGCATCGATGACGGCCCAAGAAGGTCCCACGGCGGCCGAATAGTCCGTCAAGACGGCCCATGATACCCCAAGAGGGCCCAAGAGGGCCACAAGAGCTGACAGGGTCTGGAGATGACAAAATCATTGATTTCCTTTGGAGGTTCGAATGGTTTTCGCATTCTCGCGTTTCGGGCTGTCGTCACTTCAAAAAGGCCCAAACAGCTTCCACGATGGCCCCAAGACGGCCCAGGACGCCCCCAAGAGGATCCCAAGATGGTCCAAGAGGACCACACGATGGCCCACGAGGCATCCAGGACGGCCCCAAGAAGGCCCAAGCGGGCCTCCCGTGGGACCCAAGACGGCCATAGAAAGCCCTTCGACGGCCACAAACAAGGCCAAAACGACCCCCCCACGACGGCCCCTGAGCCGGAAAACAGACCAACAGGGCCCCAAGGGACCCCTAAGACTGCCTCACAGGAGGCCAAGACAGCCCAAAGACGGCCCAAACGAGTCCCATGAAAGCTCTTCAACGAAGACAGAAAGTGTCACATGTGAAGGCCTTCCGCTTCCTCCTCCTCCTCCTCTTCCTCCTCCTCCTCCTCCTTCTCCGCCTCTTCACCCATTCCTTCTCCTTATCCATAACTTCTCCCTGTCGCACCCTGAGGCCAGTTTTTAGGGCGGACCGGGCGTTTCGCCTGAGACTTCCTCACCACTTCTGACTCCGAAGCTTAATGGCAACAGCTTCACATATTGAGGGCGGGTCGTTTTGAAAATGTGGCTCTCGCCTCAGCGCCGCGCACATTCACTTTTTAGATTTACAAGAGCTCCCCAGACTGAGGGCGGGACGTTTTCAAAATGTGGCTCTCGCCTTCGCGCCGCGCACATTCGTTTTAAACATATGCAAGAGCTTCACGAATTAAGGGCGGGTCGTTTTCAAGATGTGGCTCTCGCCTTCGCGCCGCGCACCCTCGTTGTAAACATTGGCAAGAGCTTCCCGGATTGAGGGCGGGTCGTTTTCAAGATGTGGCTCTCGCTTGAGCGCCGCGTACATTCGTTTAAACATTTGCAAGAATTTGACGGACGTAATGCGGGTAATTTTCAAAATGTGGCCTTCGCTTTAGCGCCGCACACATTCGTTTTAAACATTTGCAAGAGCTTCACGGATTGAAGGCGGGTCGTTTTGAAAATGTGGCTCTCGCCTTCGCGCCGCGCACATTCGTTTTAAACACATGCAAGAGCTCCACGGATTGAGGGCGGGTCGTTTTCAAGATGTGGCTCTCACCTTAGCGCCGACAACATTCGTCTAAAACATTGCAAGAGTTTCACAGATTCCCATGATCAACGACCAAAAAATCGTGTTTTGGAAGGATTCAGGACTATGTGGGTGCAACAGTTATGTGGATTCGCTGCTGAAATCCAGAAAACGGCGTTTTGGCACGATTCCAGATCGTCAGGACGCAGCAGCCAGGTTGATCCGTGGCGTGGGAAACCCGAGAACAATGTTTTGACATGTTTCAAACTCTTCACACGTTTTTGTCCCCCAACGAGGCAGTTCCCTCCATGGAAATGAACCGTTGTAGGGGCCTATGAAGAGGGAGCCTGGAGGGAGGGTTCATTCCAACATCGTTAATGGTTCTTGGGTTTCCTCTGGTCCTCCTCCTCATCCTCCTCCTCCTCCCCCTCCTCCTCCTCCAGATCATCATCATCATCATCATCATCATCATCATCATCATCATCAGCATCAGCATCAGCATCAGCATCACCGTCATCACCATCATCATCAGTATCATCATCATCATCATCAGCATCATCAGCATCCTCATCCTCATCCTCATCCTCATCCTCCCCCCCCCCGCCTCCCCCTCCTCTTCATTATCCTCCTCATTATTCTCCTCCTCCTCCTCCTCCTCCTCCTCCTCCTCCTCCTCCTCCTCTTCCTCTTCCTCGTCGTCCTCGTCCTGGTCGTGTTCTTCTTCCTCCTCCTCATTATCATCATCACCACCACCACCACCACAGTCATCATCATCGTCATCATCATCATCATCATCATCATCATCATCATCATCATCATCATCATCATCATCATCATCGTCATCATCATCATCACCACCATCATCATCATCATCATCATCATCATCAGCCTAATCATCATCGTCATCATCATCGCGAGCATCATCAGCATCATCAGCAGTCTCATCAGCAGCATCATCATCATCATCATCCTCATCATCATCATCATCATCATCATCATCATCACCACCACCACCATCATCATCATCATCGTCATCGTCATCATCATCATCATCATCATCATCATCATCATCATCATCATCATAAGCATCATCATCATCAGCAGCATCAGCATCTTCATCATCATTAGCATCATCATCATCATCAGCAGCATCATCCTCATCCTCATCATCATCATCAGCATCACCGGCACTATCAGCAACGTCATCATCATCATCATCATCATCAGCAGCAGCATCATTAGCAGCAGCATCATCATCAGCATCACAAACATCAGCATCATCATCATCAGCAGCATCATCAGCATCGTCATCATCAACAGCATCAGCATAATCATCATCGTCATTATCATCGCGAGCATCATCAGCATCATCAGCAGTCTCATCAGCAGCATCACCATCGTCGTCATCATCATCAACAGCAGCATCAGCAGAATCATCGTCATCATCATCATCATCATCATCATCATCATCATCATTACCATCAGCCTCATCATCGAAATCATCGTCGTCATCATCATCAGCATCATCAGCAGCGTCAGCATCAGCACCAGCATCAGCATCATAATCATCATCATCAGCAGCAGCATCATCACAACCAACTACAGCAAAAACAACAACAAGGCAACACCGATCCGCCGACCCCATGAGGCGTGTGCGACATCCCTCTCAGCTGCATACGACACATGCCGCCCTCCATGCCCCAGCATCCTCACCTCTTGGAGCCTCTGTCTTTGGGACCCCCCACCCCACGAATTCTCGCCCAAACTCGACCAACACATCCCTCCATGCCCCCCTTCATGCCCCGACATCTCTATCCCTTGGAGCCTTTGTCTTTGGGACTTCCCACCCCACGAATTATCGCCCAAACTCCACCAACACCCCCTCCATGCCCCCCTCCATGCCCCGGCATCTCCATCCCTTGGAGCCCCTGTCTTTGGGACCCCCCATTTCACGAATTCTCGCCCAAACTCAACCAACACCCCCTCCATGCCCCCCCCCCCTCCATGCCCCGGCATCCCCACCCCTTAGCCTCTGTTTTGCGGACTCCCCACCCATGAATCTCGCCCAAACTCGACCAACACCCCCCTCCATGTCCCCCTCCATGCCCCGGCATCCCCACCCCTTGGAGCCTCTGTTTTGGGGACCCCCCACCCCACGAATTCTTGCTCAAACTCGACCAACAACCCCCCTCCATGCCCCCCTCCATGCCCCGGCATTCCCACCCCTTGGAGCCTCTGTTTTGGAAACCCCCCACCCCACGAATTCTCGCCCAAACTAAACCAACACCCCCCTCCGTGCCCTCTCCATGTCCAGCATCCCCACCCCCCGGAGCATCTGTTTTTGGGACCCCCCACCCCAGGAATTCTCGCCCAAACTCGACCAACACCCCCCTCCAGGCCCCCCTCCATGCCCGGGCATCCCCACCCCTTGGAGCCTCTGTTTGTCGGACCCCCCGCCCCACGAATTCTCGCCCAAACTCGACCAACATGTTTGTCCATGGACCCCCCGCCCCACGAATTCTCGCCCAAACTCGACCAACACTCTTCTCCATGCCCCTTCCATTGCCCCGGCATCCCCACCCCCCC